GGCCACAGGCGCCGAGCCAGGAGTTTAACTTTTGAAAAAGAAATGTAGTTTTGGCTCATGGATTATACCAATTGTTATTTATGATGGGTCACAGGTTATGCTGATTATTGTTGTTTAAGAGCTAATTATTGTTATTTAAGATAAAGGTTAACCTGTTTTTTTACCTTGAACATTTATGTATAAAACTGTGGTTTGGGGATGGCACCTGTGGCTCAGCGGGTAGGGTGCCAGCCCCATATGGGTGGTGGTGGGTTCAAACCTGGCCTTGGCCAAACTGCAACAAAAAAATAGCCGGGCATTGTGGTTGGCGCCTATAATCCCAGCTACTCGGGAGGCTGAGGCAAGCAAATCACCTAAGCCCAAGAGCTGGCGGTTGCTGTGAACTGTGACGCCACAGCACTCTACTGAGGGCAATAAAGTGAGACTCTCTCTCTAAAAAAATTAAAAATAAAAACTGGTTTGGGGGCTGGGCATGGTGGCTTATACCTGCAATCCTACCACTCTGAGAGGGCCAGGTAGGTGACTCGCTTGAGCTCAAGAGTTTGAGACAAGATGAGGAAGAGTGAAACCTCATTGCTACCAAAAATAGAAAAACTAGTCTTGGCACCTGTAGCTAAGTGGTTAGGGCACTGGCCACATACATTGAGGCAGGCGGGTTTGAACCTAGCCCGGGCCTGCTAGACAACAATGACAACTGCAACAAAGAAAATAGCTAGGTGTTGTGGCGGACACCTGTAGTCCCAGCTACTTGGGAGGCTGAGGCAAGAGAATCACCTAAGCCCAAGAGTTTGAGGTTGCTGTGAGCTGTGATGCCAAGGCATTCAACCAAGGGCGACATAGTGAAACTCTGTTTCAAAAACAAAATATAGGGGAAAACTACATGGTGGGCTCCTGTAGTGCCAGCTACTGGGGAGTTTGAAGCAGGAGGATCACTTGAACCCAAGAGTTTGAGGTTACTGTGAGCTCTGATACCTAGTGCAAAAGCGCAAGACTTTTGTCTTTGTTGTTGTTGTTGTTGTTGCAGTTATCAATGTTGTTTTAGCTGGCCCACGCCAGTTCGAACCTGCCAGCCCTAGTGTATGTGGCCGGCACCCTACCCACAGAGCTACAAGCACCGCCCGAGATTGTCTTTTAAAAAAAATAGAGATTATCTCCTTGTCACAAAGTAAA